AAAAAAAAACCAAGAAAAGAGCAGACCATTGCATTATGGGGCAGGGTGCTTCACCTCTGCTGCTCGCTGCCGTTCCCAGGCTCCAGGAGTGTTCATTACTCACCTCCAAACACCTTCACTAAAATTAAGATGAAGCACGGCAACCATAAAGTTTAGCGGAGCCCCGGTTTGGTTTTTTTTTTTTTGCTTTTCATCATTGACTTGTGCCCCTCTGACACATTTGGTTATTTAAAACACCGCTCGTGCCATTTCCTCATCCCCGACGGTGGTGGGAAGCGTGCCGCTACCCGACTGTGATTTTTCTTCATTACTGCCAGCAGACACTTGAGTTTTTGCTAAGACCGAGTAGCTTTGCGCTATTGAGCAGAAGACCCAGATGAAAGCAGAGGATGAGAAAGCAAAGCTCTGAAGCCATGCCCTGGGACCCCCAGCCATGCCTGGGCATGGGGGACAGGGCTCCTTGCCCTTCTTGGAAGAGGAGAAAATCCCAACGAGTAGCTCATGCGTGCACATCAGCAGGAGTTTGCATAGAAGGTTGCAACCTTTAGAGAAGCCTTGGAGGTGCTCAACCCCAGGCGAAGCCAAAGGAAAACCCCCAGGAGGGTTTTCTGCCCCGTTGAGTTCAGAGGAGAGCAACAAGGATGATAAAGGGACTGGAGCATCTCCCCTGTGAGGAAAGGCTGAGGGAGCTGGGCTTGTTCAGCCTGGAGAAGAGAAGGCTGAGAGGGGATCTCATCAACACCTACAAATATCTCAAGGGTGGGGGTCACCAGGACGGAGCCAGACTCTTCTCAGTGGTGCCCAGCGCCAGGACAAGGGGCCATGGGCACAAACTGAAGCAGAAGAGGTTCCAGTTGAACGTGAGGAAGAACTTCTTGACTTGGAGGGTGCCTGAGCCCTGGCCCAGGCTGCCCAGGGGGGCTGTGGAGTCTCCTTCTCTGGAGATATTCAACCCCCACCTGGATGAAGCTCTAGGTGACCCTACTTGAGCAGGGGGGTGGGACTGGATGATCTCTGGAGGTCCCTTCCAACCCTTGCCATTCTGTGATTCTATGTGACAAAAATTGAAGAGGAACAACCTTCTTGCAGGCCAAGCAAGGGTCAGCTCAGCATGCGTGGAGGTACCTAAAGGGTTACCCATGCCCACAACAACCACAGCAAACACGCCTGCCCCGGTGCATGCATTCCTCCGGCCAGCCAGACTTGCCTGAATAAAGAATGAATGACAAGCGACACCAGGAGGGCGTGAAGAAGAGCAAATAATTGAGATGAAACGTCAAGTTAATAAGCTGAACATGAGAAGACGGGATGGAAAAAGTAATTTAATCATCAGGGCTTGACAGCACAACAACTCTGCTGAGTCTCTGCGGCAGAAGCAGAGTGTAAGTGCTACTTCAGGACATTCTTTGCGAGCATTTTCTACTGCAGCTCGTTGCAGAGGTGGCAGAGGGGATCCAATCAACAAGCCCAGGAGAAGCTTCTGGCTCAGCCTTTCCTCCTTCCTCCTTTTTCACATGGGATTTGGCTTAGGCCCAAAACGTTTGTCAGGTGCAAATGTGCACTGCGTCGTTGAAAACCCCGGGGCTGAAGCTTCTCATGCCAGCTAAGAACCTGACCTTTTATTTCCATTATCTTAAGGTTTAAACACCTAAACCCCATTCTGCTTTAAGAAAGACTCAGTCTTTAATCTTAGCTTTAACATACAAATTCCAGACTGTTTAGATCCAAAATTACTGGATGAAAGACAAAAGTATATACAGGTATTTTTTTCCGCCTATTAAGCACTCATCTATCTCCCCTTAGACTTACTATTAGAGGGCTTGGAGATGCCACAGGGGTTTAAATCATTGTGTTAAATGTCTGGCTAGAGAAAAGAAGGTACCACCAGGGATGAACACTCTCTGGGCACGAAGATTTAAAACCCTTCCAGAATTCATGGTTTCTGGTCTTATAAATAAGACCGAACCTAACCCTCTTCTGCCCCACACCTACACTCAGTGCAACAGAAGCCCACTTACAGCAGCTCCTTATCACATCAGCAGTGGCTTATGAACATCAATTTTAGATTATTTCCCCAGAAATACAGTGCAATATCTGCTTGATAAGCAGCTGTTGTCGACAGGAGAAAAGCCAGCGCCGGGACACTGACATATGGCTACGAGTGAGCTGCTGCTGCCGGTGCAGAAAGCTGTCGGAATTCACCCGTGGGATGGTCTGGGCTGCAGGCTGGCAGATCACGGAATCCCAGAATAGTTTGGGTTGGCAAAGCCCTTCAAGCTCCCCCAGCCCAACCGTGCCCCTACCCACCTCCTCATACCACAACGTGCCCATCTCGGTTCTTTGGCGCTTGTTTACCACTGAGGTTCCCTTCACAGTGTTATTTATTTATTTTTTTTCCCTCCCTGGTTCGTTTTTCAGCTTTCCCGCAGTGCTGGGAGGACAAGCCCCCGCTCACCCCGGGGCACCCGTCCCGCAGACCGACAC